GGGCTTTCATGGCCCTCATTGACCAGCTTGTACAGCCGCTTGGCAGATCGAGGATACAGAGAAGTAGATGTATGTATGTATGTATGTATGTATGTATGTATGTATGTATGTATGTATGTATGTATGTGCATGTATGTATGTATGTATGTATGTATGTATGTATGTATGTATGTATGTATGTGCATGTATGCATGCATGCATGTATGTGTGTATGTACGTATGTATGTATATATGATAATATATTTTTATATATGCATGTATGCATGTCCTCACCCCCAAAAACCTAAGCTCCTGTTCCTGCGGTTGGAAAAAGGAGCTTCAACCCGAAGCCCTCGAATCATCTGTCTGGTGCTTAGTAGGGAATGGGGGTATGGATCCCTATGAAAGTCCCTTAAGGTCCCTTATAGTAGTCCCTATAACCACCAGACAGTCATAGAGAAACGACCTCCCTCAACCCTAAACCCTCGACCCCTTGAAGTTTAGGGGTAAGTGTTTAGGGTTTAGGGTTTAGGGTTTGCGGAACATAGAGAAGGGACCCAGAGCCGCTGCGTGAAACAGGAGAACTCAGAGCGAGCTCTCGTGGACAAGTTCCAGAAGGACTGGGCCAAGGCCCGAACACGATGTTAGTGTTGTGTAGGGGTCTGTTGGGTTATTCAATAAGGGCTTTCATGGGGTGCTTGATAGGTTTGGGGGGCAGACTGGCCAAGGCTGGAACACAACCCCATAGAAGAAGAACAAGAAGTAGAGGCGCAACGATGGCAAACGACTGCGGGCCCTGCGACACCATGAGCACGGCCACCAGACAGGCAAATGCTAATACTCTCGTCGCCCTTATTCATAGATTCTTGATTCTTTTGCGAGCGAGCGTGCCTGGCCGCGCATTGATTCAATGTCAAATCCTGGGGCCCCGAACACAGACGTACTTCCGGGTCGAACATCAGTGTTGGTCCCATCTGGACCGAAAACTTCTTTATTACGTTTCAGAGGCTGTCCGGCTGACTTGTTTCATGGGCACTATCGGCAGTTCATATTTGGAGCAGAGTTCTTTGCCGGATTTCCTTTGGTGATTTCCGAGGTTAATCTGAAGCCACCAAACCCGAATGCTTGCGAAGTTGCACGTCTCACAGTGTTGGGTGTTTTCGATTTGGCACTTTCACAGCTAGGCCTCGTCTCACTCAACCATACCGGGCGGATCTTGCTCAGGTGTCCGAAAAGTGAGACGTGCCAGTCCAGACGTCGATCCAAGAGCGTTTCATTTATGGTGCTAAACACCGCTGCCGTTCTGCTTACAGTAGTGTTTCTTTCCTTCCGAAAGCAAGCTTGCTAGGAGTGGATTGGCATGGCTTGGTTCACAATGTAGGCTGCAGAAGGTATTACAGTCATTATCTAATAGGCATATCTCGCACATTCCGTGGACCTGAGGCACGTCTTGAAGCTGTAAGGTTCAGGGGTTCAGGGCTTGGTGTACAGGGTTCGTGTTCCGTCTTCTGCGGCTTCAAAGCAAGTGTGGTCTAGCGACGATTCTGTAGTATTTAGGGCCTGCGTAACCGATCTGCAAGATCTGAAGTTCGATGCGCCGGACAAATATGGAGATGAAAAAGGCAGAAAGATGCTGTGCCCGAAATTCTGGCGTCAACGCACAAGGAACTTCACCGCACGGTACTCATGCTTTGGCGGGTATGTTGACCTGGTGTCGGACGAAATAAATCATGGATTAGTGCCCCGCACCACAGGCATTCTTCGCTTTCCAGTCAATGTCCTGACCAAGTTGGACTGCCTAGGTAAGCTCAGTCGTTCGTCAGGGCTTAGATGTTTGGAGTTTGAGTCAGTCAAGCAAATCTTCAGGATTAGCCACCGATATTCAACAGCAGCACTGATGAATGAAGGGGCCTAAATAGTTGCCAATACTATGTTGGGGGTTCCTCAGTCTGACTATATTACAATATATCCAAAACACTAATTATTAAGGCCCCTACATGAAGCCTTCCTTGCAGTCTTGCAGTCCTTTGCTCGGCAGCAGTGGCTCCGCTGCATGGTAGCGACCCTACAGCTTGACCTGCTCCTCCTAATATACACTGGAAGGTTCATGGGTAGTTATAAGTAGGGTGTAACTATGATTATAACCCATATTAGGGGACTTATAACCCCACCTATAACTACCCATGAACCTCCAAGCAAGCCTCAATAATTACCAAGCTTATTCCCTGGGGATCCTGACTCTAAACGTAGAATATACCTGAGCCCTGTTCTAACTAGCGGGCAGCCCGAAATTCTGCTTGCGAGTTCCCAAGTTTCGATTCACAAGGGGCTCACATTAGGGTTATGATAAGGGTATGCTATGGCATGCTGTACTATAGGGGCCTGAGTAAATACCAAGACTATTTTGTGGGTTCCCTACTACAACTATATTATCGTGTATCCCAAAACCCTATTCTAATTATTAAGGCCCCTGCATTAGTCATGTTAAAGTTACGCTCAGAGACCCAACTCTCTTCTTGGTGCCATGGGCGCTGCCTGGCATGGCTTCAGAGCCCTTGGCCAAGCCTGGGTTTGTGTTTGGGATCTGGGGATGAGGGGCTTGCATGGGGGCCTGAATGGTCAGAGTGGCATGTTTAAGGGTGTTGCTTCATGTCATTATAGTAGATACCTCAAAGCCCCTACGTCAGGGTCGATATGGTGATGTTCGCTGACTACAGCGGCATACTTCACCAGGGCAGCTGAAGACATGGTTATGAATTGTCTCCGATCCTCAGGTCTCAGTCTCAGCTTTCTTCTTGCTGCTTGTGACAGCACAAGGCGCGAGGGGTCCATGGCTGTTTGTGTGGTTTTCGAACTCGGGGACGTTCCCGCATCCTAGCTTGCGGCACCATTGTCTGTTTATTCACTCAAGCACATAAACACTGGTTCAAAAGACAAGCATGGAGTAGTTGGCAACCTGTGTGGTTGATGCCTCGCTGGTCAAACCTCCAAACCACGGCCGACATGTCGCTTGCAGTGCCGCCTCCGGGCTACGACCTGGATGATCCAAACGCCCAGCACGACTTCGTTGCCAAGGCACAACTTCTGAATTGCGAGTCCTCGATTTCCAGAAGCTCGAACAAACAACATCGAAGCCCTGTCAAGTTCATTTGGAACTTGTGTTTATGCACAGCTGGAGTCGCTCAAAGCAGAGCGTCAAACATAGTCTCAATGTATTCAAGACTAACTTTCTCAGTATATATAATACTATAATACCAATGAAATGTGAGTACTATTTATATTCTGAATATTCGACTTCTTATTGCGATCAGACAGCAACCGCAAGAGCTGAAGGCCGAAAGGCCCCACAAAGAGGGTTTAGGGGTTCAGGGGTTTGAGGGTTTAGGGGTTTGGGGGTTTGGGGGTTTAGGGGTTTAGGGGTTTGGGGGTTTAGGGATTTAAGGTTTAGGGGTTTAGGGGTCTAGGGGTTTAGGGATTTAAGGTTCAGGGGCTTAGGGGTTTAGGGATTTAAGGTTTAGGGTTTAGGGGTCTAGGGGTCTAGGGGTCTAGGGGTTTAGGGTTCAGGGGTTTAGGGGTTTGCCTTGGCCTTCATAACCCTGAGAGCCCTGAAGGGCACTGGTCTTCGTAGAAAGCGATGTAGAGCAACAAATATAGGGGCCTTAATAGTTAGAATAGGGTTTTGAGGCCCAGTATACTATAGTTAGAATAAGGAACCACCCCACATATGGTATTGGTATTCATCTAATTAGACCCCTACATCAATTCCTGTGCCCCATGGCCGGGATGAATCCCAGCCTTGAGAGGACCTGGCGAATGCGAATCGACTGCCGGAGGTCGCTCGCCGTGGACTTTTGGCAGTTCACCTTGCTATATTCATACCCATAGGCCCTAAAGTAGTTCCTTTTTGGGGTTACCTAATAAGATTCTATATATGAACCCCCAAAAGGAACTACTTTAGGGCCTATGGGCAGTCTCTAATTTACAGGACCCTAATTTAGAGAACTTCCCATATTCATAGTTTATTAACAAGATTGATATTCTTAATATTAGCATTTGAGAAATTGAGGGTCTTTGAGATCTAGGGCTTTCGATTGAAGCGTGACGATAACGAAAGTTTCCTGCTCAAAAAGACACGGTTTAGGGTTTAGGGGTTTAGGGTTTACGGTTCTGAACGTGCGCACATGCCCGGAATCAATGGCGTTCGCGAGTGTCACTACGAGTGTGATGCAAACGGTCCCCGGAATTGCGGCCGAAAGCTGAGTATACCACTTACTCTTATGTTTATCATTGATGATTATCGTTATCATTATGAATAGTATCATGATGGTGATATGTATTGCTGTTGTTCTTATTTTCATTATTAGTATCACGATTATGAAAAGTACTGTTATTGTTATATGATGACTGTGACTAAGTACTGACAATAGTATTATCATCTGAGCAAACCTTCCAGCGAGATCAGCGCACTGAAGTGTCTTCTAGTCAATATGCATCTCAACTCCCTTGTCAGCGCGACCGGGCCCAGAAACACGCAGCTTTGGCATTCTCACCCAAGACGGGAAATCGCCTGCAGCCACATGATAGAACTTGCGGATGCTTCTGATGAGCTCCCGTCGTTTGCTTAATAGTTGTACCTGCTCCTACTCTTTCATCAGAGCGTATTGCATGTGTTGGATCGCGAGCTTGTACCAGTCTTCATGATGTGATGCCACGCTTCTGGGAGTACGGAATCCCCTTGAGAGTGTCTTTGAAGGAATCAAGCCAGATTGCTTGGAGGTTCATGGCCAGTTATAAGTAGGGTTTTAAGTAGGGCAATTAACCATAACTATAACCCCTATTAGGGGACTTACAACCCCACTTATAACTACCCATACACCTCCAAGTAATGAACCTTACACCCAAACTCCCCTTCTGCAGCCCTTTCCGTTTTTGCCGCGAGGCCATTGAGAGCTTCAAGGCGGCAGCCAGGCGGGGGCGATATAGAACCGTTACATCTAGGGTTTAGGGTTACATCATCCCAACATAGAGCCCTGGATTTACGGGGTTTTCGGGATCCTAAACCCTATAAACCCTAAAGCCGGCAGACCTTAAGTGCGCAAGCTGGTCGTGTGCAGGTTTGTCGGTGATCACGTGTCCTTTGCGTCTCGGCTTCATTGGACATCCTGTTCAGGAATCGAAGGCAGGGTTCAAGGTTTTGTTGAGGTTCAAGGGGTTGTAAGCACTCAGGTTTATCGCGATGTTGGGCTAGAGACTGTACGTTTGCAGCGTGGGGCTTCGAAACCCCAGGGTTTAAACAAGTTCAAGGCTTCGAGAGGGTTTTGTACAGCGAGTCCCACGACCCGGCATCTGTTTGCAACCCAGGAAACCCAGGCGCCGCACGGCGTACGCGGAAGTCTTTGAACCAGGGTTGTCTTGAGGTTTCGGGTTAGGGTTTAGGAGTTTAGGGTTTAGAGTTTAGGATTATAGGGGTTTAGGGTTTAGGGTTTAGGTGTTGCACCCTGCGCCAAGACTGTAACAGCCTTGATCCTCTATCGGGAAAGGTAACCGTGATACCGCAGCTAGAGCGCTTATTCAGAGCCTCATTATATAGGGGAGCGTGCTTCTACTGAAGCCCGAAACTTAAGACGGACCATCCCGTTGATGCCTTGTCACGAAGTTAGAGACATCTGAAGCCTCAAAGTTAACATTACAGGGCATGGTGCACTTGATCGGTCGTCCTGCTTAGGCGAACCTCGGCGTCGCTTTCATGCGCAACAAGGACTGCCTTGCCTGGCAAGGGTGGAGGGACTACATCTTCTGAAGATTAGGGTTTAGGGTTTATGGTCTACAAAACTATTATAGACTAAACCCTATTGTAAGAATAGGGTTTACGGGGGGAGGCTCGGGAAAATTAGAAGTCATTCTTCAAGGGGGGATCTGACACGTCCGAACTTTGTTCGCCCTGGCGTCCAGGATCTGCTAGTATACGCGGAGTCCTTTGCTAAACTTTAGCTGGTGCTAGCTGTTCAGACCTTTGGCCCGTTTTTCATTACGGCTTCTGGAGAAGATGTCCAAGATCTGCACCACCCTACCCTCTAGGACAGCGAGCATCGAATGTGCGTTTTTTTGGAGCGTAGGGTGCCCGGTTGTCCCGACATCTGCTCCTTCACCGACCAAGAAAGCTGCGAATTGCTTTGCCACTCAGCTGCGGAGCGCACATCGCCTGGATATCTGGGAGCCATGAAGCTGTTCACCAATCCCGACTTTCCCGAAGAGCTTCCTCCGACTGTGATCGCCACTTAAGCCCCCGTCAGCATCTTCACCCAAACTACAGGCAGTACCACTACATCCACCAGTACGCACAACCCTGCCCCGCCACCACCACCAAACATCACGCTAGGGTCACTCTGCCTTGCATTTGTGCATAGGCTTTAGTCTTTTCCTCACGGATTCTCTTTGGGCGGTTAGGCTGTGTGACGCGGGACGTGTCTATTTTCTCAGTTTCTCAGTGTGAGAGGAGAATGGTTTAGAGCTTTCGAGTCCTAGTCTTGAGAGGTTTGGGGCGTTCTTATTTTTGTAACGCTCTTCCGGGAGCTTTCTTACCTCAATGACTCTTCCCCAAGCACAGCGCAGTCGCGTAGGCCAGAGTCCAAGGTAGGGTAATAATGTCAACAAGTCTATCGGACTGCGCATCACACATGCCTGTGCTCCGCCTTACTTCTCGCTCTCCCCTGCTCTTGTGCTCTCTCTAACCCTAAACCCTAAGCCCTGTCTCTCTCGCTCTCGGTGTCTCTGTCTCTTTGTGCCTAGCAAAGCTTCTTGACCCCAAGGTTTCCACCAACTTCCAACTCTTCGCTGCGTTTTGGAGCCTTGGGAAACCCGTATAGGTGTCGTAATGATTACTTATAGTAAGAGCATCCCCTTGTAGTAACCCTACTTTGATTATGAAGGCCCTTCTATTCATTTCTTATACTAACTCTTCAAGGAACCCTGTGATAGAACCCACACCCTCAACCCGAAGCCCTAAACCCTAAACCCTGAACCCTAAACCCTAAACCCTAAACCCTACTCACCCTCAACCCGAAACCCTAAACCCACACCCTCAACCCCATTCTGTTGATGAAGCCCCCTTGCGGAAGGACTTTGGGCTGGCGTTGAGAGCCTTGTCCGGTCCTGAGAACACATGGCATCCACCATGCCGTTCATATAGGGGTTTCCGAAAATTCGGGGTACCTTATTTGGGGGTCCTTATAATAAGGATCCTACTATTTAGGGTACTATATTAGGGTCCCCTATTTTCGGAAACCCCCATATAGGAGCCTTAATAACTCCCTATACTATTTTGGGGGGTTCCTTAGTATAATTGTAGCATGATATACCCCAAAACCCTGTTCCGGTTATTAAGGCGCCTACATTAACCTTGGTTTATGGGCTGGGAGGGTTTGAGGGTTTAGCGCGGTTTACAGCCTAAGGCTTTAGGGTTCATGGGATCAGGGTTTAGGGTTCATGGGTTCAGGGTTTAGGGTTCAAAGTTCACGGGTTCAGGGGTTTAGGGTTCAGGGGTTTAGGGTTCATGGGATCAGGGTTTAGGGTTCATGGGTTCAGGGTTTAGGGTTCAAAGTTCACGGGTTCAGGGGTTTAGGGTCCATGGGTTCAGGGTTTGGGGCGGGTCTTGGCGGGGGTATCGGCTTCTGGCTGCCGGAGCTGAGGATCCAGCATGTGGCTTGTCATTGTTATTGTGAATACTACTATTGCTACTACTACTACTACTACTACTACTACTACTACTACTGCTATGAGAATGATTGTTATACATATGTTCTTATTTCTTATTTTCTGTTATTACTACTTTCAGTATCAGGGTCAGGATCATCAATGTTGTTGTTATTCGGTTATTGTTATTAGTACTGCTATTGTTACATATTTTTTCCCCCGTGTCCTAGTTGTTTTCATTTTTTTATTATCATCATACTAAACCCTAAACCCCTAAACCCTAAACCCTGTTAATTATTCAGGTTTGTGGCCCAGCTGGCCCGTAGGCCACAAAGGGGCTTGGGGACACCAAGCCCGAACGTCGCAGACATTCTTATGATTCTGGGTTTAATATAGGCGCCTAAATACTTACCTATACTATTTTGGGGTTCCTTCTTATAATTATAGTATAATATACCCCAAAACCCTATCCTAATTATTAAGGCTTCTACATTAGGGCTTGGCGATGATTATTCGTAAGCATTCTTCTTCTTGTTATTACTAGACTACTACTACGATGATGATAGTTGTTGTTATAGGAAACCTTCAGGACCCCGGCCCACCACTCCCTGTTTAGGCTTCGGGGTCTAGGGGGCTCGGTCTCCCCTAAGGTCTCGCCCTGCCCAGAATATAGGAGCCTGGATAATTACTAAGACTTTTTCTTTTTTTTTGGGGGGGGGGGTGGGGGGGTGGGGTCCTTACTATGGTTATATATATATATACATATTATCAAGGAGCCAAAAACCCTCCCTATTCTAAATACTCAGGCCCCTACATTATATCAGGGTGCGCCGGTGCTGTTCAGGATACGGACGGCTCGCGATTGCTAGCATTGATCTTGGACAGCCCAATAGATTTGCTCATACTTCTGGATGGCTAGAACATCTTACGGCGCTGGATGTTGAAATTGTGCGCATACCCAGGGTTCATAAAATCACAGGTTTAACGCTCTTTCGTCACGGTTGGTTCGTGATGATTCTCGAAAACGGTAGCCAGCAAAACAAGCAGTGAAAGTAGTTCAGTGCATTTCTCGTCAATGTCGTGCATCCAAGACTCATCGAATGAGTGCAAAATCTGTACATCTTTCGGAGATTTGATCAATTCGCCGCTTACATGACAAGTAGGGTGTCCAGTGCAGAGATGAGAAAACGACTACATTTGGTTTAGCTCAGACTGTTTGTGAATAGGTTGTTGAAGCAACTTGGCCTTTCAAGCAAGGCAATGTCTATCACCGGTATGTGTGTTTGCAAACAGCAAGCTGTCCAATCATCTATTGCCAGACCATGTCAACTGCTGAATATGTAGTCTGCATCGATCATGCAGGCATGTGCATATACATATGTCTCTATTTGTCTATCTACCTACCTATCTACCTATCTATCTGTCTGTCGACCTATCTATCTATCTGTCTGTCTATCTGTCTATCGATCTATCTATCTGCGTATGCACGTGTGTAAGTACTCATGTATGTACGTGTTTACGTATGTATATACATATACACATGGATATCTATGTATGCATACATGCATGCACGGACGTATGATGCCTCTGTCAGCGTCATTTGCGCAAAAAATACACCTCGGCATCTTTCCCGGCAACAAATCATCGCGTCGTCTGGGACTTCGCCCAAAAGCAGTCCAGGAAGAAGGCTCTCGCCTTGAATCCTGACGATGGACATGCCAAAGAAAACATGGAAGCGCCTCGCTTGGAAATGGGACCTAAGCTTCTTAAGGCCGACGTAAGCCCTGAACCCTAAAGCGACGGCTTGAGTTGGGGATAACAGGGTCATAGGTCGTGGAGTCTCAATCGTATTACAATGCTTTAAGAATTGAAGTCCTCGGTGAGGATCAGATTTATGAGGGTTACAGGTGTTTGGGAGTCTGGCTGGTTCACGGGTTTAAGCCGTTGCTTTCGCGTCGGTCTCTATCCTTGCCTGCATGCATGCAGCATGTCATGCGTGTGCATGTATGCATGTATGTAACGCATGTATGTCCATACATGCGTGCGGGCGTAACATCTATGTGCAAAACGGATACCGACGTACGAAACTTTGGCTATAGAGATATGCATAAGTCAATGCCTGTGGTTTGTGGGTTGGGCAGGCGAAGGCAGGAATGCATGCAAGTCTATGTAGTTGTGTCCAAGAGCACGGACATACACCGGCCTGTATCTACAAGTTCGTTCATGCACATTCGCATGCAAGCATACTTACTTCCGTGCTTCCCTACGTGTGTCCGTCGGCAACTTAGGCAAAAGGCTGGACAGAGAGGATACAGTAGATGTGCATCCTGCCTAGAGGGAGGGAGAGGGAGGGAATGGGACACCTGTCGTGTGAAGGATGAGAACTCCTCGATTTGTGAATATGACTCCTTGGAGGTGTTGCAGTCCTTCGCCCAGGGCAACGGCATCGATCGGAAGAAGCTGGAGGCAATAGGCAGGATGGTGTTCTCCGCCAGTTGTTACTTGTTGCAGCTTTGGTCACGTGGCTCTTGCTGGCAGTGCTGAAGCCAGTATAGTTCGCGGTGCTGATATACTTACATGAGTTCTCTTACTGCTACAGCTCATTCTGCTCTTTGCCACGACTTCTTATTTACTCCTATTCTGACTCCTCCTGCTGACTGTAATAATGGTCATAATCATAATCATATTACTACTATCGCACCACTGCCACTAGGACGACTACTACTGCCACTACCCCTGTCGCTACCAGTAATTTTTCTGCCACTACTGCTGCTACCCCAAGGCTACGTGTCAGGCCTTGGAGGCCCTCCTTCAGAACTTCAGCCCCGGACTACTAAACCCATAACCCCGGTCCCCACACCCATGACTTAACCCACGAACCTGTAAGGTAGGGTCTCTTCCAGGACGCAAAGCAGAGCTGGATCTGATGCCTGGCTCGCGGACACCGCAGGAGTCTGCAGGCACCCCTTTTTTGTGTCGGATGGCGAGAAAGAGGAGAATGACCAGCACGAAGCTAAGCATGAGCGAAATGTGTTGCTGTGGATGAGGATGATCAGCGACCGGCGTGCATTTGCACAGTACTGTCTGCTGCTATTACTGTTGCTGCTGCCGCAAGTCCGCCTCCTTCTACTCCTCCTACGCCTAACCTTACTCCTACACAGCAGCAGCTGCTGCTGCTGCTGCTCTTACTCCTACTCCTACTCCTACTCCTACTCCTACTCCTACTCCTACTCCTACTCCTACTCCTACTCCTACTCCTACTACTACTACTACTACAACGACGACGACGACTACTACGACGACGACTACGACGACGACGACGACGACGACGACTACTACTACTACCTCTCCTGCTGCTACTTCTACTTCTAATGATTCTAATGAAGTGCTCGTGCGACGATGACCACGACGAGGACTGCTACTCCTGCTCCACTTGCGTACTGGCTATTGCCGGGCTGCTGCTGCGGCGGCAGCTCAAAGGAGGCCCGGGCCACTCCATTCAATAAACCCGGGTTGGGGGGCGTGTCGTCATGCATTAACAACTCAGCATACATTGTGTATATGCCAGAATCCTGAGCGTCACGACATAATAACACGGCTGAAACCGCTTGCTTTCTGTTGCAGTGCTGCTTTATAGAAGCTCGGGGGACGCCGCAAGACGAGGCATGCACCAATGAGCAAAGCTGCAGTTGATGCTTCCGCAAGGACCTTGACAGGAACGGAAATCAAGTGTTTTTGAGCTTAAAGAGGTCGCGCTTTGCATGCCGCAGCCCATCACACAACTTTCGAAGGGGGTAATGGAGTCTAAGATTCCAGCTGCTGCTCGGGCTTGCCACGTCCTGTCAACGACTCTTACTGTCATGACCAAGTGACGACCAAGTGTTAACTTCCCGTCAATGCCTGCATCTCACCACGACATCACAACACCGACTTGTTGAAATCCAGTAGCAATTCTGACCGATTCTGAAAGGAAGAAACGCCCACAGCGATGGCCAAGTCCCGCTTGACGATGACCACTTGGCTCTGCTGGGCCGACCTTCAGCGCGATTGACCCGGACTCTCCATCGTGCTCTCTTTGTCTAAAACATTGTCCAGGACGGAAAACGATGTTTAACTATACGAGAGCAAAAACAAGTTGGGAAGGTAGCTCCTACCCTGTTATGAGCAAAATTAGGCCAAACAGGTAGAGACGTGCTGTAAACGTAGGGTTTTAGAGGGGGGTGGCATATATATATATATATACATACATGTACATATACATATATATATATATGTACACACACACACATATATATATATATAAGTATGCATGCAATATTTGAACAGTGTATAGTTAGCTGGGGCTAGGGGGGCGACCAGGACCAGGAATCACAGATCGTTCGGCCAAGGACTTCTATGCTCAGGCTCCCGCAATGCAACGGCACCGAATAGCCGCACCGAACAGCTCACTCCGTACGCACAGCCTTGATGCGGCAGGGTTCGCAAACAAACGAGACTGCAAGTCTCTCGTTCGCTCCCGTGACCTTTGGCCTGATGTGCAATGAAATGCGCCTGGCTCTCTTTGAAGGCGCCGGACGGACAGCTCTCCCCGAGCAGTATGGTGCACGCACACTCTTGGTGCGGAGCTAGCGCCGGGCGCTCGTCGCTGTTCGTGTCCGACACCTCCGAAAGCTAGCACCTTGCCAGCGCACCAAGGTCACAGGTCCAGTATGCGAAGAATCGAACAAAAGCTTGACTGATCCAGCTGGGCTGTTGAGCGCTTTGTGTCGCGTAGTCTGACGTGGAGAGACCCTTATGACGCCTTTCTTGCTGCAAGTTTGTGCTGAGCTCAAACTTGAGCTGCTGGGGGTCGAAAGGCAAACCTGGTGAAGCCTGCGTCTTAAGGGGTAGCTTTCGTGGTGACATAAACACGATCCTGAGGCTAACTCGAATCGGAGGCTAGGGCAGTCTGACTGAGTTTGAGGCCCTCCGATTGCCTGTATCGGCGACCTGGTGAGACAGCCAAAAAGGTCAAAACCTTGTGACTCGTTACTAAGTACTATCTATCTAAGTTACCGGTTTTGGGATTATCTCTGTAGCAGAGCAGCAAGAGGATTCCGGGCCACGCTGCTAAGCGCAGGAGCATAGCAGATTCTGCTAAACCACTACGAGTACCATTCATAAGGATACCAGATAACCATGCACGCATGGTGATGCTGGGCGTGTTCAAGCTGCGAATACGTGCCGGGTTCACCACAAGAGCGCCAGTGGCAACATCCTCGGTCCAGAGTCCAGACCCGTCCGCGGCAGGGTACGTGGTCCAATTGTTACAACGAGTTGGCTATATCTGCAGCTTGAATCATGTCCGGAGTGGTTCGCCGGCCTCTTCCTGAAACAGTAGTAGTACCTTTGTGCCTATGCCAAGCTTCTGCGGGAAAGTCAGGAACATCGACTCTACTCTGTATCTAAATGACACGAATGACAGCCAGGCTGCAATCACGAGCCCTCTGGGACCGTCCAACTCGTGAAGACCGGGCCCACCCAATGGAATGCCCTGAGCTGAAGGGTGCTTCACAAATAACTGGCTTCGTCGCCGCTACCATACCAGCGCAGCCGGTAAAATGCAGCTGAGCTCTTGGCTCCTCCGTCCACGGAGGGGCAGCAGCACCTCAAAATTGGCGTCCCGGCCGATGTTGTTTTATATACAGGGCTACGTTGTCGCGATGCACGAGGTGTCTGACGCGGAGACTCTGATGATTTTCTGCACTCGCAGGCTGGATTGACGAGAAGCGCTGTCGACGCAATTGCTTTCTCGGAAAGGCTGCGTCAGGTACCGAAGTCCAGCCGGGAGTGCCGGAATGAGCTGCAGCTGATTCGGGAAACTGGTGGCACAACCCGGTTGCAGGACGCGGTCAACAAGAAGCAGGGCCAGCCCGCTTGCGAGCTGCACAGTGACCGCAGGGGGCTCCGGACAACGTTACGGCTTGTGCGCTGGGCATAAGCTGGGCCAGGTACCTCTACATCTGCCGTGCACGGCCTGCTTCTTTCCGCCTACCTGGTGAAACGCACCGGGAGAAAATCCGATTCTCGTCAGGCCTTCCCGAGGCTGCCTCCGCTTGGCTACTGCGCAGCTTTTAGGTTCAGGGCATTTCAGAGCTAGAAATAACATCGGGGAAAGGCCTGATTCGGACGTTGTGTGCTGAGAGTGGAAAGAAAAGCCTTGCAGCTCAACAGGTACCACCACAAATGAGTACAAAGCATGAGCCTTCTGTCTCAAGGTTTTGAGCGGCTCGCTATGGCTCGCTAGATGACCTGTAACGTAAAACAGCTATGTGGATGAAGCGATGCCACATTTCGACAGCACCATGTTGAGAGCAGCTCCTCCATTTGTCCGCGACCGATAGTACCCTTGCCCTCCTGCTAAACCGTAGGCTTGATCATTGAATGAATCTCACACGAAATTATCGAGCCTGTACGAACATGAAGGCTGCAGTGGGTTCAACCAGCCGGCTAGATTGACAAGTGCCGTTAAAAATCATGTCGTTGGATCTGCCAGCTTGCCTTAAAGGCATCAACTCAAGCAGCACCCGCCTAGCGTGTGCGTCGTATTGGCTCGATGCAGAGCACCCATTTTTGTTCTACCGATTGCATAAAGGACGCAGCTTGCCTGCGAGCAACTCTTGGGCAATCTGTAGTCTGCCACCGCAAGTACCTTGCTGTGCCTTGACAAACCGCACGGCTCCACATGTCTACTTTGCCTCGCTTTTGTCCATGTCTCCTACCGCTGCTGACTGCGAGCTTCTGCTGTCGAACTTTTACACTGCAGTCTGTTTGCAACTAACCTCCTCAGGTGCTCCGCTTAAGCACGAAGAGCTTGCCACCCTGTTGGTTCGGCATCTCCATCCTTCTCGCAAGCCGGTTTACACGAATCTTAGGGAAGTTTTGGGGTGCGGTTGATGCGGTTGATTGGGCTGACCCCTGAAAACCAGGATGGGGTTGCTGCAGCAGCTTGGAGCGCTCGCCGGGATGGCCGCGCTCGTGGCTTGGACATCTCAGTCCTGCGAGGCGACTACGAATCGCGAGCAAAAAAGGAAATGCTATCGCTTCTGGAAGCTGTGGGTAACCCCTAGGCCCTGGGCAGAGCCCTGCCGGTACCAAGTGAGCTCTTCTTACGCTGCATGTTGCAAGCCAAAATCTCAACATAAGCTGCCTCAGACACAGTACAAGCCCGACTTGGCAAGTCTCGTCCGGCTTTGTTTATGCTTTGTGGCGGCTTACGGTTGCGGGGGCAATTTACGCATGGGGCGACTATATTGGTTGAGGTACCAAGCCGTCTGTCCTCACCCTATTCCTCTTGAGGCTGCTGTTCTCTGGCGTAGATCGCCCTGAGCAATATGGATGTCAAGCAATAGCTGGAAGCGGATGTTCGAACGGTTGCAGAATTCCGGCATACTAACACATAGACTCTTTGGCATCACGCTGAAACCAACCCTACATGTCGACATCCTCGAGGTTTCCTTGCAGCTCCTTTCACTAGTGACAAGGAGCAATGATACGTACAGCCCTTACAAGATCTGTCGCGAGTCAAGCACTGCTGCATTGAAAGCGCAGCTGCATGAAGTACGCAAACTCGACCGGTTGGGTTCTTCCGGTGGATCAATGTGACGATGCCCCATCAATCCACACACAAGCTTGGAAGCGCACTGCGTTTTAGCAAGTACCACATTCTTGCGGACTATTTCCAGTGTTTCCCAGCTCCTACATCGCCAGAGAAACCTTTTCTGTGGCATCGTGCGACATATCACACAACAAGCACTCTGCCAAAGCGTTCTGTAAAGTCTGCCGGCTCAAATCATCTCTAAGCTTTCATAACAACGAGGTCGACCACTGACGATTTCCACGAAGCCGCATGTTTCTCCATGGAAGAAAAACCTCTTCTGCATGGGTCTGAGCCCACACATGCCTGACGTCCGGCGAGAAGCTACTGAGTACGATGCAGCAGTTGCCCGACGGACTTGGAAGGTTGCCAGGTCGCTAGGGAGCACGGATGAATGTCCGTAGCAGCTCATGCTGCCACCTTCTTGCCGTGTTGCCGTGAGCGCACCCCGTGATGTTCTGTCTGTGTCACCTACCAAACCTGTTATACAGAGAATGGCGCCGCCGATGTTGCCCGGGCATACTATCCGATAACGACTCACAGAGTCATTCTTCGAACCTGGATCCACCAGACTCCACAAATATTTACCTGTTGCCTCTTTCCTTCAAACTCTCTTCAGCTACGGACCTCTGTGGTGTCTACTTACGTACCATCTTGCAAGTGCCAGCTCTACGCTCGTCTCGACGCGGCGCCTGACGCTTCGCTGTAGCAAACGAAACAGGCATGTTTCGAAGAGCGGTGGTCACATCGCTCAGTACCCGCCAGGCAACAAATTATGACCGATGTAAGCGCAGGCACAGTCTTTGATATTGAAGCGCTGGTTGCAATGTCGACCGCAAGCGAAAACAGTTGGAGGGGAGAAAGCAAACGATGCCGAGAGTCTTGTATGCGGTCGGGAATAGCGTCTTGATGAACTCAGAATCATCAATGGCCTCAGTGGGTTGGGTGCTTGGACCTTCTTCGACATGGTGCAGTCGCGGCATTGCAAGGTCTGGGCTCAGCTGTATTTCGTTCCTTCTTGTGGGATGCGTGAGTTTATTGGCTATTGAAAGTTATTGAGCATCGCTCCTTCATGCCAGCTTTGGTGCCCATGAGGCCTGCAGCTAAGCACAGCCAGGCAACTCCACTTCCATCATTGTCAAAGGCCTGGAAGACGTCATGAGCACGCTCGTCTTTTGCTTCGACCTCCAGCCTGAATTCAAGAAAACGATGCCTTTCGGCAGGGCAAGTCCATCGGCTCGACAGAATAGGTCACAATGGCACTGTTTGGAGCTCTTAATCTCAAGACGCTACAACCATGTTTCTGAAAGATTCGGCACATCTGCAGAAGGGAAAGCCAAGATTCTGTTGGAGCATTCGGCCTCAGTTCAATCTCGCTATGCTGTTATGCAATCTGGGAAAGATCGAACCTTGCCGTTTTCTTGTGTGGCAGTCGTGGTCGCATCAGGAGCGATGATTTCGTCTACCTAAAATGCTCCCACTATGCCTGCGAGGTTGCCTGCTACGGCTGACACGAGCAGGCACAATCCGAAACAGAGTACTGAAACTGGCGAATCGGAAACGGTGCGCTCTCGTCCGAACATGTTGAGCGGAGCAGAACCCAGCAACACACACAACCAACCGTCCGCTGTAGATAGCTACAAATAATCGCGCGCACGCGCTTACGCACACACACACACACACACACACAGAGGCACTCGTAGCAGGCAGGGCGTGCACCAAGGGTTTGACAGGTGACGAAACTCGTCCATGGACAGCTCACCATCACCGTTCTCATCGTAGTTACCTCCGTGCAGCACGATTTGGAAACTTATGGGCCGGCTCACACTGACAGCTCTTTCCGGATTCTGCGTATGCCAACTTTGCGCTGCCCTAGCCCTAGACCGAAGACAAAGAAAATCATCTAATCGACTCTGCGGTGGCCAGCTTCCGCAGTGGCATGCTGAGACACTGTACCACAAACTGACTTCCACTCCATTGTCTGTTCAAGCTGCAAAACAAGCCGGGAATATCCTGTGGATCATATCCGACCTTGCTGCATTGCACTCACAACCGGATAGCCTTGACATTCGCGTTATTGATGCCCACACACCACATCACCGAGCAGACTCGTTTTCTGGCCAAGAGGCAGTGGCGAAGCGAGTCCTCGTGCTGGGCTTGGCTTGGGCTAATTAGGTGCCATCTGTATTTTCTTTCACGTCTCACGTTCCCCCGATGCGCCGCTCAGTCTACAATTCAAGCGGTCGTGGCAGCTGCATTGGAAGACCGAGAGCTCAGAAGCAACACAGGCGTGCACCCCTTTGTTTCAACCGGCGTGCGTTAATGTCAACATCCTCCGGACATGCAAACGGCAAACACTTTTCCATAATCGTCTTGCGGGGTGCTGGCTTCTGTCTGCGAGTCGTGCAAAAGTCAGCCGTTGGGCAGCAGCCTACACCCTAAGGTTGGCAGTCCTCAGTCGCTGCATAAGCAGGAGCCTGTGTCGGTCGTCCCAGACAGAACCGAAGGCCTCCCAGAGCAAAATGAAACTAGCAGGGCGATACCATGTGCCTGCGCTCCGTTCAGTTGCCAGATTTCTTGGGTGCATGGTAAGTTGACGCGCTTAGGTGCTGTCACTCCGAAGCAGCACGTGCCTTTCCGACAATTCCGATAGGCATAGCCATGTATATCGCGGACCTGGGGTCCATTCACAAAGGATGTCAGGACTTGTCCTTCTACCGCAAGAAGACTTGCTCTGCCTCCATGGATCCCGCAGTCGAAACAAACACAAGATGTTAGGCTGCTGCCACGTGGCACTACGATCAGAACACAGACCACCATGTTGCCGCCAGATGATTTCGGAACGATGTCTCCATACCCCACAGTGCTGAGTGTCCTTGTTGGTATCTGCACGTGATTGAAGCTCTGTGATCTTCGCAGGGTTCCGTGATGCAGGGGCTAGCGAGGTTTCGGTCTCGTGTTGCGAGAGCTTCGCAATGCCGCCTGGAGCTGTTTAGCAGTTTAGCCTGACG